GGAGAGGAAAGGGTGCGCCCCCCCCCCCCCCCACACACACACACACTTAGTGGTAGTAGCACCATTAGTAATGAATAGATGAGTCGTGAGCAGCTTATCCTCTCAAGTTCATCGAATATTGCCCTTCCTCTTTTAAAGCATCCTCCTTTTGTATTCTTCACAACTTCCCCCTGTATCACATTGTGTCTCGTTCTTCTTGTGTGTGTGTGTGTGTGTGTGTGTGTGTGTGTGTGTGTGTGTGTGTGTGTGTGTGTGTGTGTGTTCCTCCTGTCGAATTTGAGACTCATCTTTGCGGTCGTTTGGGTGACCTGAGCCGGGCCACATTCTGACATAATGATGTGTTTGAGGAAAGTCAGAAATGTCCTTATAGGGCGTCTCTTGTGGGGAGCTGCCGTTTTGGCGCTGCGTTATGCCATGGGCAAAATAATCGACTCGTTCAAGTCCCCGGCAAGTGATTTGTCTCGAAATACCTCGATACATGCCTGTCACTAGTGACGGTGCACCTATTTAATTTATTTATTTATTTATTTTTTGCATTTGCGTGGAGGAACTGTCACATGTTTCTTTGCATTTTTTTTTTTTCCCCGAGGCAGAGGCTAGGAAATGATTTCCAGTTTTCCGGAATGCTGGACCTGAGGCTCCTGATTGATTTCAGAGGCGTGCCTCACAGTCTTAGAAAAGTACAATGTCATCCAAAGGAAATGAATCCGACTTCTTTCTCCTGTCAAGCTTGATGTCCTCATCGATCTGAAACGACTCGAAAACCTCATTCGCATCGAGTAATAATCAATGAGTCTGAATTGTGGCATAAAATCAGCTGGGCCCTTCGTAACAAAACAAATGCCCCCCTTTTTTTTTTTTTTTTTTTTTTTTAAATGCACGTGGAATCTTTGACGGCGATCAACTGACACTCGCCGTTTCATATTTAAGCTCACGAATGCGAAAAAATAGATGGGGCGAATTGTCGGCTGGCCTGGCCCTCTTGAAGGGCGTTGAAATAAACACAGAAATGCAAGGACGCCCGGGTCGTTAATAACCCTTCGTGAACATAACAGACCTTCCCGCAGACTGGCAGAATTAGTCCATACGGTGACAGGGATTTAGATGGACATAAAAAAAAACCCTTCCAGATAAGACCTGGTTTCCATGCGGGAGTGTTTATTTGCAGCGTTGCAGCAAGAGAATACTAGCGAGCCGCATGAGCTATTTGGAATTTGAAGTACCCAAATGTCTAAAAAACTCTTAGTTGGACTTTGCTGCCAGCGCTTTCTGGATTTAAATGCAGCCGCCGTCCCAGCAGCAAAAGCTGCACACGCAGTTTATTTTTAATGGCGGTCCATCTCGGTAATAATATTCTTGGAGTTCAAAAAGCAAACTTGGCTGTGTTGCGTTGCGCAGTTTTCTAGGAAAATGTGGCCACGTTCCACGCCCCGCCAAGTCGGGATGCTTCTATTGTTCTGTTGTTGAGAGGAGCAAGTCAACGTCAGTGCCTGGAGGATAAAAACTGCACATGTTTTGAACTTTTCTTTTCCAAAACTGCCTTTGGCTTTGACTCAGGACTCCAAAAGTGATCAATTTTTACAATTGGCCAATTACTTGTGTTGCTGTATGCATGAACTACCATGAAAGTTGCTTGACAAAGAAATCAGTTTTTTTTCCAACTGCCAGCAACTTTAACAGCAATTTGGAGTCCATTTTGTTTACGGGTAGATTTTATTATTTTTTTTTTTTTTTGGGGGGTGTGTTTCTTTAGTAGGGAAACCATGCCATGAAGATTTGCGTTTTTTTTTTTTTTTTTTTTTGCATTCTACGACTTTTATAGTACAGGGGCACATGTCCAAATAAAATGTTGAATATTTAATGGCTGCGTTTCATTTCCAATGGCGTGCCACTGGTTGCCAATAGTTGTTTCAGTGTCACGTTTGTTTTGCATAAGTTGAGCATGTGCTTTGCAATCGAGCGTTATCACGAACGTTTGAACCCATACAACTTTCCACACTTCAATTTCTGTGCAATTAAAGTGAAAGATGGCAAGCGGTAATTTCAAAAACAGACATATAATGCAGCCCGGCGGCCAATCTTCTCCTCCCCAACACACCCCAAGGGTGATGTGGAGCTTTTGGATGTGCACAGCTGTTTGGCAGATAAATCCACAAACCGTCCCCCCCGCCTCTTCATCCTCCAAACAGCAAGCTCAGACCCTCCCCCACCCCTTGCCCCCCTCTCATTCCCAGAAGCCCTAGCAAAAGCTGCGATGGAGGAGGCCCCCGCGCTGGGCCACTTCCTGTGGAGAGCAGGAAGCCATTTGACATGGGGATTAAGACGACACAGAGAAACGGCGCAAACAGCTCGTAGCGATGAAGAGGAGCAGCAGCTCGCTAACCCAAGTTACCAGAGCTTCATTGCTTCATCTGTTTGTCTGCTTACGTTTCACTCTCTCACGGTCACAAATCTGCCCGGAGACACTTCATATTACCCACAAAGGGTCTTTGGTTTTATTGCTCTTTAGAGTTAAAAAAAAAAAAACTGCTCGAGGGCAAAGGGAAAATTCCACGCTTATTATTAAAATAAATGTCAAAACATTTTTTTTTTTTTTTTTAAATCTGATAGTGTTCAAACTTGGTGGACAGAGATGGACGATAGTGGCCTCATAACCGGTTCATTTTTTTGGTGCCGATTGATCGTCACCTCAACAGATGAAGTCGATGTTAACTCGCAACAAGGTTGAAAGTATTTTCAAGAAACTGCATCAAGTCACAGCAGAAGTGAAAGGTCTTGATGGGAGCTTTTCGGATCTTCCATTATTTTAACAACGCACCCTTGTATGATGACTTCATGATTCAAAAAACTTTTTGGGGGCATAGGTATTATTCTAAATGAAAAGGTGCTTTCGAAAGGGCCCTCCACTCACTTTTCAAAGCCTTGTGGAGCTCACACATGTCAAATGTGACATGCAGAAACACTGCCATGGAATATGAGAGTGAAAAAGAAATTTCATATCCAAATCATTAAATGTATCCGTTCAAATACTCAACAGGCACCGGAGCAAAACAATGCGGCGGCTTTTGGGCGTGGCCCGAGGTGCGTGATGTCACAGGAAAATCTTTTCCTCGCTTTTCAAAAGGAAAATATTGACATTGAAATTTGACAACTGGAAAAATATACATGAAGCCGAAGAAATGTTTTTCTTTCTCTCGAAAAAAAAGGTTGTTTGTCTTCAGCGCTTTATCGAGCTTTACTTTTTCCGTAATTATGTTATCAATGTCACGTCTGACAGCACGATGGCAAAAAATATGGAGAGGTAGACGTGAATTAGGGGGATGAAATGCAACCAGTGGTAAAGGTCGTCCGCCCTGCGATGCTGAGTCAGCGTAACAGAACCACTCCGCAGTCGACCAACAGATGTTTGATGTTCAGCGCTTGAGTTCCTCATGCCTCTGACCTCTCGAACCTTCCAAAAGCGATACGGCCCGGCTGGCTGGCCGGCGGGCTCGGTGTCGCCCTGTCACGTTTATTTTCAGTCGCTCTCTCCTGACACGCCGGCGCAAGGTGATAAAAGCGGGGCAAGCTGCCCACAGTGGCGTCGTGACATAACACTTGAGGGTATTATATGGAACTTCTTCCCCCCACCTGAAAAGAGGATCCAAATCAGGGGTGACGGGGTGAGAATGGGGAGGCCACGGGGCTGTCTCGGGGTCACTTAGCTGTCGTGCGTGTGGGAGTGGTCGTAAGTTATTTATTTACATTCTCCTCCCCAACGCAGAGTGGCCGTGTCAGATGCGGCTGACGAGATGAAGAGCCTTATCCTGGAGAAGAACAAGATGGCCCTGGAGGAAGAACCTGAAATTCTGGTCAAAGGTGAGTCAGGCTCATAAAATAAACACCGTCGTTGGCACTCATCTCTTCCTACTCAGATGCTACGCACAATCATCTACTGTACTGCATGTGTCAGCATGGAGTGATGGGCTTGTCCTGGTTTTTGAAACAAATCATGCCCGACACATTTTGATCTAAATAGTATTGTTCAAGGATTCACTTTAGTCAAACGCCTTGTCTGTAAACTGAGAGCGCCTTGCTTCAATTTAAAGCGTTTATATAGCACTTTGCACATATGGAGCCGTTTAAGCAGCCTGATACATTAAACGCGGTCAACGGATCCCCACGTGGCCACAAAGTGAACCTGAAGACAACTAAAACTGTGTGGGGCGGTCATCTGCCTCGATCAGATCGATTTGCATGTGCTTGTAGATACATTTTATGTGTACAGTTAAAACAAAATAAGGTTTTAGCTCAACATCATTTCGCCAGCAGTGTACTTAGTTAGCTAGTCATTGGGTTACTTGGGTAGTTGGTTAGGTATGTGTGTGGTTAGCTAGTAAGCTAGCTCATTGATTAGTTGCCTGGTTATTTGAGTAGTGAGTTAGCAAGTTACGTGGTTTGGTGGATAGTTATTTATTAGGTGTCTTGTTAGGTATTTAACTAATCAGTTATTCCAGTCGTTGGTTACTTAGCAGCATCGCTAGGTATTTATTTGTGAAGCTTGTTAGTTTTTTTAATGAACTGATACAATAGCTGGATAGTTATTTAGTTATTAATATAGTTTGTTGATTAACTAATATTATCTGTGAAGTTTGGTCATTGGTAATTAGTTAGCTATTTGGTACCTTGATAGGTTTACATAAATTCCAACAGTCACCCACATAGCTCACATTTGTTTTTGCCGTGTATCTGCGTTCCAGTGTGTGCTATATTAGTTTAAATTGTGACAGGTTAAAGTAATCAAACAAGTCAAATTACAACAAACGGCATGAGTCAGCCGTCTTGATGCTGCCCTGAAAGGTTCAAGTCCTGTCCTCGTAAATAAGCACTGTCGAAAACTTCCTACTGCTTCGTCACCCGGCAGCCGGCCCGTGCAGCTACGGGCCACATGCGGTCAGCGCCTGCTCGCGTGGGCCCAGTGTAAGGACGGCCGTCGACGTCACAACAGTCGTTTTGCCTTGCCCATGTCGTGCTTTTGAGGACTGAGCTCATAGGATATTTTGGGTTGTTATTATTTTTTTTTCTATCCAAGCCAGTACTTGGATAACTTGCATCCTGTTTGGCGTAATGGTGGCTGTCATGTTGCCTTGCTCTGACAGTTACCATGCGACACGGTAGTAAAAACAACTGCAGCTCTAAACCCAATGAACCTAAATATGAACCATACTTACTCTTAAGGCCAGCACATGTCAATGTCAAGTACTGTACATGTTTTTTCAACCGGTTGGTGTTCAAAGAAATATGGTAAAAGGCCTTGTGGGTATGTGTAAACATTGACCCCGGCCATCTTAAATAGGCCATAGTGACAGAAAGAGATTGCTTTATTGACATACCTCTGTTGCTTTACAGTTCAAATAAACTGGCGCGATGGCACTCCCACTCACGCTCCATTAATCGCTCATCTGCGGGCCCTTTTTTGGTACACTCATTAAGTGTAGTGCAAAACAGATGTTTTTCCAAATTTCTTAGTAAATAATATATGAAGATTCATGACTATTAAATGGGGTAAAAACAAAACATATGTTTCGTTTTATATGAGTTTAAAACACGTTTCAGCTCATGCAGTGTATTTTTTGGGTGCAAGAGATGCAGCACAGCAGTACAAAAGGGGTCAATTGCATAAAGATGGTGTTGAAGTTGACACATATTCACAATTTTTCACATAAAGAGTAAAGAAAAGTGGACCTAACTCTGAGCCCTGCGGCACCCTTGTGAACAGATGTCTGTGGATACACCATCATATCTAATGCGATGCAACCCACTACTCTGATAAAAAAAACAACCGACACGTTCTTCTGAGAGCCCAGAGCTCAGAAATGGCTTGAAGTTGAGTCAGGGGGTGGGTAATTGTTGGTGACAGTAATAATTATTGGCAAGTCTGGTGGCACACTTGTATAACATTGCAATTGCAGAGTAACAATAAAAAAACTGAAAGACGCCCGGCGAAATACACTACAGTTGTCAACTAACAAATTTCGAGGGGACAGTGCTGTTCAATAATTGCAAATGGCAAACGAGAAGTAAAAATCGATGCGCGGAGAGGGATTGCGTGCTCTCGTTCAGCTTGAGGGGGTAGGGATGTTCGAGCTGGGTTGAAAGGTCACAAATGAAACAAATTAAGGGTGAGCCGCGGTCCCCAGGAGGAGGCATTAGCAGGACTTAGATGGGATCCAGATGGGGGGAGCGTGGAGCAAGTTTATGGGGTCCCGAAAGCCCTCCTCCTTCCCCTCCTTATGCTGCTCATCTGTTTTGTGAGTGACAGGAAGCTTAAGTGCGACATGCCATGCCTGACAGAGGCGTCGACGTGTCTTCGGCGTGCGCTTCTCCCCGTGTCTCGCACCCGCTCGGCTTGTCTGCATTCTTGATGTGCGGCAAATTCAAACCCTTTTAGTTTAATGCTGTGGCGTTGAATAGCTTGAAGCAGGACTATTTTGGTCTCCTTTTGATGACCCTCTATAAAGATCATATAGAGAGATTCTTAAATAGGAAACAGCCTGAGAGCACCCCTTCGTCTCACTCCACGTGCTTAATTATTTTGGCCCGATGGTGTCACAGTGCCTGGGAAAACCACGTCGGCTGAGCAGAGGTGGGACCGCACGGAAACATGTAAAAGTGGAGTCCTTGGGAGTAAACAGGCTGACAGGTGGCACGCAGCTCACTAACCGCAGAGGAAGCCGTGATGCTCCGATGGCGTCATTGCCAGATTCGCGGCCTAATTGACGCTTTGAAGGCACACTCCAACATGCGTGCACAGGGCTTTTGATGAGAGTAGACCCGCTGCCAATGTCGCAGACATGGGTTCAATATTTTAGTCACATATTTATATTTCCCCAAATACTTGCCGGGAGCCTTTGACGTAACAGTTGGCACGAGGCCTCTGTGAGTACGTTTGTAATAATAAATAATTAACGTTGCTATTTTCATTGATTATTTAGATACTTAGAAATTGATCACTGCAGTTAGTTAGTTAGTTATTTGGTTACCTATGTATTGAGTAACTTCCATTTTTTTAATTAGCATTATTAAATTTTTTTTGTGTAAGTTTCATAGGTATTTAGTTCATTAGTTAGCAAGCTTGCTTGTTAGGTATCTGATTACAGTATTTAGTTTTCTGTGTTGGTTGATAGCAAGCAAGTTGGTAATTTGGGTTACTGGTTATCAAGCTAAATCGTTGTTTGTGTAGCGTGTTAGTTAACCTGTAAACATCTAATTGGTAAGTCAGCTAGTTATTTAGTTATTTGTGTAGTTTGGAAGTTAACTAGTAAATGAGCTCGATAATTTACTTAGCTTGTTAGCTAATTTGTTAGCTAATTAGTACTAGCTAGTATTAGCTAGTTAAACCGTTTTTTTGGTTAGCTAGTTAGTTTGTGTCGGGTTAAATTATTTGGATTAGTGTTTATTTGTTCCCAAGCTGCTGTTTTGATTCGTAGCTAGAATCCAAATAGCCTTAGTGGTTACTCTTTTAGATCCAAATGCATCTATGAATTCAGACAAATTGTCTTTTTTTTTTCCCCCTCTGGCCATTATCCGAAATCTACATGTTTGCCATTACAGCAGCAAGGCACTGTTGTAGGAAAGAAAGGAAAGTTGTATATTGTATCGGTGGACAAATAAAATAAAAAACTGCATTTTCAATTGTTTTAAATGGGACTTTTTTTTTTTTGGGTCACCAGCAAACAATGGCATTCCTTGCATAGCTTTGCCATTTTTAGACAGAGCTGATCAGAGATGACAAATGAGTTTTTGAAAAAACAAACATCGTCTGGCCTGTGTTCATTTAGCAAAGCCAAAATGTCTTGGTTTGAAATTCTTCTGCGTGACAACTTGTCACTTTTATCCATTCACTGTTCCTTCACCGACACTACAGTATCTCTCTGCTTTCTCCTTTCTCTTACTCCGCAGCTGTAATTAAGCCGGCTGGATAGCAGGCTTTAATGGCTCTACCATTAACTGGCTATATCTGTATTCCCCCTAGCATTTACCTCGACAGGTCCATCCCATACAGAAACTTTGGGGACAATTACAGACCTCTGGGGTTATTCTAAGTAAAACATATTATGCAGTGATGTTTTTGTAGCTGCAGGACAAGGCTACCTGTTGGCCGGAACATTCGGGGGGGGATGGTGGGGGCCAGAGCTTTTCTTGGAAATTCTCTGATAACATGGCTGCCAGAATGTGGTGTAAAGTCAAATAAGAACAATGTTTTGGTCTTGGCCCAAAGTAAATGAGTGGCCATTAGCATCCAGCAGAGCGCAGACCTCCACCAAGGCCCAAACATAATAATTTAGAATAAGCACCATTAAAATTCATGTGTATTGTTGTGCATTATTCACATTATTTACAGGTTTATGCTATTTTGCTTACTCTTCACATGATATGGTTATCTCGCAATGTTGCAGTGAGTGAAAATCCTCGGTCATGTGTTATCTGCCGTCAACTGCCCAGGAAGCTATCCAATTACACTGTATTGATCCAAAACATTATTCATTCACTTCAAATAATGTATCTTAGTTCATCGATTGGTGACTGACAGAATAATGGGCCTGCCACTAGCATTTGAGATATTCTCTATAATGGTACGTTGGTCATCTATGTTACTAGTAGAGTATCATTTGTGCTTTTTTTTTTTTTTCGTCTTGGGGAAGGTTGGCTGCTGCGCGAGGTGCGAAGCAACTGGATAAAGCAAAGGCGCTTCTGGTTCGTGCTAAACCAGGACTCGCTGGACTACTACAGTGGTCCGGAAAAGGGAGCCCGCAGACTGGGAACGTTGGTGCTCACCAGCCTCTGCTCAGTCATCTGGCCAGACAAGCAGACATTCAAGGAGACGGGTGAGAGTCGCGCACACACACACACACACACACACACACACACACGACTACAGAGCAAGGCTGACACATGGCCGACTCACGCATGACATCTCTGTCGTCGTTTCATGTCTGCAGTGTTCATATCCCTCACGGCATTTTGTGATATGGACTCTTTCAGAGATTCCGAGTTGAATGTTTTGCATGTTTTCAGATGTATGTGATGTCTTGTGGTTCCCCTTTGTGCTTCCACACGCACTGTAATTGTGAGTATATTTGGGAAGTCCCAGCGCTGCTCAGTCCAAAATGTGGTCGAAAGTTTGTTTAGAATCTTCTCAGCCATCACTCAGGCATCTCGGTTCCTTCTCTGAATGAAACGAAACACTTTTTAGGATACCAGGAAACCAGGCTGGATGAGACGATTGTCAATATTTTGGGATTTTACTACTCAGCCTCCCCGTCCAGCAGCAAATATTTTGGACTACCTCATTGTGCATTATGGGGAATTTTCTTGGCGGGAGTGCGGCTTTCTCCTGGCGTCGTAATGACTTCCATTTAGCTACTATAAAACATTTTGCTCCTTATTCTAGAATTGAAAATTGTAGCGTACTTCCTCCTTGTATTTTATTTTATTTTTTTTTTGCTTCTTTATAATTTAGTTCCTGTTCAGTACTCCTCATTAACCCTTTCATGCACCCTGTAACTTGGTAACATAAGATGTCCAAAGCAGTAACCGCTATCCCCGAAAGGGTTGATTAGGTTTTCATTGCAACACTGACCTTTTAGGGAAGAAAATAAATAACCTGCTCAAACCTGATCATAGAACCAGTTGGGTTCTGAATTGAATTTCCAACAATCAAATCATAAACTGTGCCGCAGAAACCATCTCTAGTTCCTCTTTGGGTATTCTCCAGCAGGTTGACTGTACAGTTGGTACGCAGCTGACAATGCAAGTGTTCTTCTAGACTCACTTCCTGTGGGATTGCACAAGTGCCTTTTTTGGCATCCTTCAAGCGAATGTGAAAAGTGTCCGTCGCGCCAAGCTGTTAAACCTCATCATTTTGGGGTGTTAGGAGATCAAGACAGGAGGACACGGTGCCAAGTCACGTAGCAGGAAGGCCCGATAAGAGCGCCGCAGCTCTGGCAGCTCAGAGTTGCTCATACAAGAAACTCTGGTTTTCGACAAAGTAGACTTTGGAACCCTTTGTGACCCAGTTCCGCTGTTTGATTTGGCGTGGTCTAATTCCAAGAGTGGCGATTGATCATCAGTGATATAATGTGATGTTTCCGCGTTGTACTTCAAGGCTACTGGAGCATTACGGTGTACGGGCGCAAGCACTGCTACAGGCTGTACACCAAGCACTTCAACGAGGCCGTGCACTGGGCCTGCGCCATCCAGAAAATTATCGACACCAAAGCGCCCGTGGAGACTCCCACCCAACTCCTGATCCAGGATATAGAGGTAAGGTCAAAAAAAACTTGCGCTACCAAACACAAACAGCCAGCGGGCTACAGGTTATTCCAGCCCCCGAGCCCCCACCCCCCGTGCTCGATTGCTATGGAAACCACACAAAGGGCCCGAAGTCCAAAGTTTGATGATGTCATCGTATTTCCCTGGAGCTGAAACGGCGAGGCAGAACTTGGAGATAAAAGTGATTGTTTGGGGCTGCTGAGTCACCGCGCGTGAACAAACAAGACTGAAGTGGGCTGATGAAGGCTATTTTTAGAAGCGGGGTTGCTAGAGAGAACAGCTCACTGGAATCTCGTGGAGCAGGCGGTCACCTCGTCTCGTCTCAGGCCGGTCCAACATTCTGCTCACTTTGGCCTCCCGTTTGAGTCATCTAACGGCGAGGGTGTCTCACCTCAAAGTGCTTAATCTGTCCGGTGGCTTGACCAGGTGGAGCTCGCACCCCCATTTCCATGTCTTTTTAGAATTTAAAAAAAAAAAAGTTGATTTGACACCGATAAAAATGAGTCACGACATAATGACCCATGGGAAAATGTGTGTCCCGCTGCTCGAGGACACCTCCGCGACACCACTAATGACTCACTTTTGAATTCCTCCTCCTCACAATCGCTTGAGTCGTTTCACCTTTGGATGCTCTCGAAATTAGGAAGCGAGCCTGTTCTGTTTGAGCAGGATCGATCATGTATCTTCTAAAGCGTCTTCCAATATCGACGCCAGTTTAGTTTAATCGCTTGTTTGTTTGTTAGCTGGACAGATTAGGCTCAAGCTATGTGCGGATCTGGGTATTGATTAACATTGTCAGATTGTGTGTATTTTCCTCTGCAAATAATTGCGCGAAACCACGTGACAGATGATGGCCATTGGCAGGAAGTGACATTCATTCCATTAGATCGCTGCGGAGAAGGTGAAAAGCAACAATGCATTTTATTTAAAATGTAAACAAGTGGCGGGTGTACTATTAATATTCCTGTGATATGGTTATGCCACCATCATCTATATAGCTTTTATTACCATGACAACCGAGGGTAAAGCTCGGGCTGGAATGCTATCAATGCTTTTACTCTGCAGCGTGATTCTGTAAAGAGCCGTGCTTCAAAATGGTGGCTCTTTAGCCACTCTAGCTATCAAGTCGCGGGTAGATAAACTCTGTGTAGGTGCTCTTTTGTAAATGACCCAAACTTTTACATCACAGCAAACAACAGAAGGACACATTTTTGGGAAATATGCAGCTCACAAAAGACTTTCTTGGTTGGGTAATTTCACAAGTGATGCCTCGGCGGGCTGTCCTGAGACCCACATGTTAGTTTTCCATTATATGTCCCCCTCATTGGAAGAGAGCTGCATCAACTGTCCGCCATTCTCTTCTTTAAACACGCCTTTTGTTTGCTCTGAGCCAACATGCTTGGTATGGTTTGGATAATTAGTCTAAATTATGGGCATGTTTATGTGACAGGCATGTCATGCCTCATCTGACACCAGCAAGGCTATTGTCAAAGCAGAATTCAACTGGAGTCTTGAGAGAAATTGCGCAATTGTTACGTTCAAAGCGTCCGTGCCCTTCAGACAGACAAGGCTGCGTGCACGAAACACCGCGGAGGAATGTGTCAACTCGGGCCCCAGTAAATAAGCTCATCTGGAAGCCAGCCACCGAGAAGGTGGCTGCAGGCTTGAGAGGCTGTGGAAAAGTCCTGAGAGCGGCAGTGGCGGCGTTACTAATAAGCAACAGGTGCCGGGCTGTATAGCGTGCGAGCCATCTGTTGCCACTGGAAGGCGTCCGGGCGCTTGGGCCACGGAAGACCGAAACACGTTGACCTGGCTGACTCGGGCGGATAAAATATAACATGTCTATCGTGCTGCGGCCGTTTGCCGGGTCGTCACTTGACCTCGCCGGCGCTTTGAAGGTTGCCAGAGTCGCGGTCCAATCTGCCCCAGACGCACTCAATCACCCGCTGGCCCAGATCGGCTGCACGCTCGGGGGAGCAATATGAACTTTCTCCGCAACTTTTGTTTCGCCCGTTGTCCTTCAGGAGAACAAGTTCAACCCTGAGGTGGTGGAGCACATCTACCAGCACAATCCCATCCTGAAGTACACCCATGGGCCCCTCTATGCCCCGCTGCTGCCCTTCCCCTACGGCAGCCTGGAGCACACATGTAAGCCTTTTTCCACATACACGTCATGATTTCAATGTAGTGTTGCATTTTCCGAGAATTCTCTTTGTATATCTACACATCTCTTTTGCTTTTTTGGTGGCACTTAAGAGAAGGTTAAAAAAAAAAAAAACTGTTGGTAAACACA